AGAAAATTGCTAAAAAAGCCAACTATAAACCGTACGCGTTTCGTGTTCCCCACGCAAATAGTGATCATGTCGAATCGATATTTTGTCACGTCAACAGCTTCAACTGGATTTAGAACTATTTTTCTCGTGTTTCCTTCGGTGAAAGTTTTTTAAACTTTGCACGTTTGCTAAGCATGACGATTCGCCAAACATATCAAAATTTCAAGAAATTCTATAAGACAGATTTTTTGTAGTCGTTATTCGTGAATATCTCAAAACCGGCCTTATAAACATCCCTTCAAATTTTAATATGTCATTTCCCTTTCAACCATAAATCTTAAAAAAAAAATTCAGAAAAATTGACCGAAGGAAAAAAAAGATATTGCCGTTTGATTGTAAAATTAGACAATAAAAGTGCAAAAGATGAAACGTCATGGTTGCCATCGACAGCAGAAGACTTCTGAACTTTCCTGGAAATGATTATATTCCCTGTCTTAAGTGTTTTCAATATAAATTTGGTTCAAAACGAAGGCTACCTAAAATACTTGAAATTTTAGAAAACTGTAGGGAGCCACCTTAATACGAAAAGAAAACTGAAAGTAAAGTCAATAATAGGAAGTTTTACCTGAATAGTTGAATTAATAGGAAGCATTGAGCGCTGTTAAAAAAGCTTTTTTTTGTAAATTTTAAGCCGGTTTTCAAGAATACATATTCATGTTTATGGATTGACCGTACTGGGACTGACCTTCAAGTTTGGCTTCAAATTTTCGTTGGAAGTACAGTATAGCATTCCAGTTATATTCATTTCAATGGTCCCACCTAGCCAGAGATCACAGGCAAGGAATCGCACATCTACAAAACTGCGCATATATGAAATGACACCTACCTTTTTTGCAGAGCGTCTATCTTTTCATCTTTTTCTCGATTTGTTGTTTTTGTTCTTGCCAACAACAATTCAACTTCTCGAACCCTGAACACAAGAGATACATCGACTATTTTTATTTGCAGTCAATCAGTTTATTCTTAACTTTTCTCATTGGAGGTACTTAGTGCAATAATACCCTGGTTGCCAGAGGTTCTCGTATCTTCCGCCCTATCGTACAAATTACGTAACTGATAATACGGCGGCACAAAAACTTCAATCTGGAATCAGCGTAGTGCAATGACCGCCAACTTCAAATGTTTATAATATAATAATAAATATCAAAGCCCAGCATAATGTCCGTATAATAATAGCCATAACCAAGAGAAATTTTCATAAATTTAATATTTACAGAACTAACGTTTCGTCTTGCACTTAAGACATCTTCAGAGTAGAATGATATAAAATTACAAAGTTATATATGAATAAATTACAACTAATTACAGAGCATAGAATTACAAGTATAATCTAAGGAGAAAGGGAGCGGAAGTGCATAGGGTATGGAAAGGGGGATTAGAGTAGAAGAAGGGGAACTGAACTGCCTTGCACGTTCAGGGAAGGTTTCAGTTTGGAAATATGCTTATGATCTATATGCTTATAATATAAGCTTATATGAAATATGCTTATATGGAAATATGGAAACGAGCTTATGATCCATGAAAGCCTTCTTATTTCCAAACTGAAACCTCCCCTGAACGTGCAAGGCAGTTCAGTTCCCCTTCTTCTACTCTAATCCCCCTTTCCATACCCTATGCACTTCCGCTCCCTTTCTCCTTAGATTATACTTGTAATTCTATACTCTGTAATTAGTTGTAATTTATTCATATATAACTTTGTAATTTTATATCATTCTACTCTGAAGATGTCTTAAGTGCAAGACGAAACGTTAGTTCTGTAAATATTAAATTTATGAAAATTTCTCTTGGTTATGGCTATTATTATGCGGATATTATGCTGGGCTTTGATATTTATTATCAGATTACGATTCCCACCTGGTTCATCCATCGCAAATGTTTATAGTAAAGCTTTAGCACTGGACGATATAACAAATTTCGAACAACAACTAGGAACATTCGCTCGTTTAAAAGAAAATGGCAACAAAACTGTTTGCCCAATTTGAAAGAATATTAGGATTATTTATAAACCCCTTTCACAAATTCGCTCAAACTATCTTAAGGCCTGTTTAAACGGATCCAACATTGTTGGACCAACATCATCCAACAACGTTACTATAATAAATATGACTGCTTCTCTTTCAAATCTTTTTGGTTAGATAAGCTTTTTTTACTCAAACTCTAAACCTAGTCTTGACAAAAAGATTTAAAAAAGAAGCCGTTTGGGCCATTATTTCAAAAATGTTGGATGATGTTGGCACAACAATGTTGGATCCGTTTAAACAGGGCTTTAGTTTTTGAGATATTTGAAACTAAAATATCCTGCTATCCACCATCTTGTTTTGTAATTAGATCTAATTAAATGACGTTGAAACCGGGGTAGACATTTTAAAAATAAAAATATTATAAGTGGAAAGTTTATACATAGCTTGTGCTTTAAATTTAAAATAGTCAATATTAAAAATTGGATTTGGCATAAAATGGCCTGAGAAATGCTCAAGATACAAAATAGTCGTACTCTGGTTGTGACGTCACGCATATCCGACGATGGATACGCATATCCAAGATGGTGGAATGCATAACGATTTTGTTTAAAATGAGGTGCAATATCTTTTATAGCAAAAAAAGGTTTTGAAATATATCGAGTCCATTTTAAAAACACATTTAATTCCGACATACCTGTCTTCATATCGTTGTATTGTCTCGTCTTTTTTCTTAATCAGCTCATTCGACTTCTTCGTTTCGCCCGTGGATTCCTCGAGTTCTAAAATTCTGAATAAACACACAGTTAACGTGAGCGATTTGCCATTATTGAAATCCTATGAAAGGGGATTGGGTGGCGCAATCGTCAGAGTAAGAGCTTTCACCTCTGAGATCGAGGGTTAGATTCTTGCTGCGGACTCATGACACCCATGAAAAGATCCTGTCAACGCTCTATATCGAAAGTCATAGGTTTTCTCCGGGTACTTCGGTTTTCTCCCACAGAGAATGTGGACAGGGTGGGTTGGGATTAGCCAGGTGGTACAGTATACATTAGCCTTTACGTTGGGATAAGCCCCAAACTGACCCCGACAACATACAGTAGCTTGCTCCGTGATCAGACCTGAGTCGTAACATGGTTGCCAGAGGCCCCCTTAGAAAGCCTGCGACTCGATCGCGTTGAACTACATACGCAAGCTAATTGTTAAGTTATGGAAAATTATAAAATACGATTCTCTGACAGTTCGTTGTTTGGTCGAATACTCGAACTACTGTAAATCAAGATACCAAGGCTGGATTTTGGTGGAAATAGTGGAGGAGGTGGGAAAGAATTTAGGGGAGGTGCAGCGTCTACCTCACAACCCCATGGAAAGTTAGGGCTTAGAACGGGCCAAAGTCAACGACGTGCCGTATGCATGTAGTGTACATATGTAGCAGTGTATTAATGAATTATGACTGTATACAACTCATCCAATTTTGCCCTTCATTACAATTACTACAAAGTTTCTTTTAAAACATTGCATTAAAAGGGTATCACTGCTTCAATTTTACAGAAAAACTTTCTTACGACTTGTAGACCCTAAGCAACCAAAAATGTCGAATTTTCACTCTGATCTATCATTGCAACTTTCCCAAGAAATATTCTCAAGGGAGGTGCAAAACGATCGCAGGGGAGGTGCGCACCACCTCCCCATAAAATCCAGCCATGCAAGATACACTACTTGGTGCTGGTATTTTTAACTATAACTTACTTGGTTTCTAGTTGATTTATGATGGCTTTCTTCTTGCTTATGTTTGTTCCAAGTTTGTTACGATCACTCACAGAACCTTCTAACCTACGGGAAAAAATCTATCTAAACCACTAGGTATTTGAATAACAATAGTATCTTCTTGTATGAAACTATGAACGGTGTGGTACTGTATTATATCTGCTATATTTCTATATATATTGAAATTGTCTGCTGGTAAAGCAGACATTAATGATTCTATTCCGAATTTTCATATTTTGGAAGTTCGTGAGAATGGGAAAATCTAGAATGGGCACAAACTAGTCGATAATCCGCCAACTTACCGATCTTGAAGAGATTGAATGTGTCCCTCTTGAGCATGTAATACTGTTTCTAATCTACAAATAAAAGCAGATGTTTTACAATTAGAAAAATTGAGATTATTTGATACACTTGACTGCAGAAAAACGAAATACTATACAGAACACGTACTTTGATCTAGATTTCTCTAACGATTTAATTTGCTCCTCTCTTCGACGGACACTTTCATTACGACGTATTCTGTGCGTGTCCACATCTTCCAGGCTGTGAAAAGAATGAAAACACTTTAATTAGCCCTTATGTACATCCCGTCCTCAGTAGCGTAGCCAGTCCGCCGATGTAGTCCCGCTATGCAAATATTTTCGTGTTCATTGACTGTGAAAACAATCAATTTCTAACGAAATGAATGATGACTCGAAATTTGCATAGCGGGACCAAATCCACGGGCTGGCTATGCCACTGCCCGTCATCTTGCTCGAGTTTCATGCTTTGTATTCATTCTCAAGCTCTATATACAATAATTCGGAGTCAGTTGTTCCAAAGCCGATAAGCTTACCCCTAGGATAACCTAAAATTCAAAGCAAACTTCCCAACAACTTGTTTATAAATTTGGAAATATTTCTTCAGAAATCTTGTCTGAACCAGTGGGAGTTTTCTTCTCGGAAGTTTTGAAATAAACACACATGCAGAAATGCATAAACTAAAACAGCAGGTTAACTTTTAACCGAGGATTAATACTAATCCGGCTTTGAATAACCAGTCCGGAATAATAAAACGAATGCTAATCCAAAAATCGAGTGTTTTACTGCAAAATCATGTTTTTATTAATAAATTTTCTATTTATTAAATCTAGAATGTTAACAAAATTTTACACATTTCAACCACCTTTAATAAGGAATGCATAGTTCCACAAACCAAAACAATTCTATTTCACCATAGAAACATGTCAAGGAATTTCTTAAGGAAAATACGTTTACCTGCGTTTAACTTTCTCTTCGTACTTGCTGTGCACCTTAGCAATTTCATTTTCCAAGTTCGTACACTTTATCTGAGTATCTTGAAGACTTTAAACATACAAAAGAAAACACACTTCTCAGTTTGAAATAATGAAAAATTGAACTGTAAATATTTTAGATTCATCTTCAGTCGACAGTAGCATGCAATTGTGCCAGAAGACGGGAAGCCTAATCGAACGAGGATAAGAATTGATGAGAATTGCGATTCACTCACAGTCCATGCCATTCCCTTTAGTATGTGCATCCCACACACACACACACACACACACACACACACACACACGCACACACACACACACACACACACACACACACACACAATTGAAGGGTGTGGATATCTAATGTGGGAGGAGGGGGTCTTCATCTTAAATTATCCTAGAGGGAAGCTTGAAAATAGCAAAACTTAGGTGTTTTATAGTGATATTCAAGAGGGAAAAAGTGATATCCTAAAGGGGTTAGTAAGATATCCTCTGGGGGTAACTTCCACAAATTGCATCCAAGGGGGTTCCAAATTTTTTATATCATAAGGGGGAGATGAAGGGACCCCTCAATAGGGGGGTGCATGCCTATATTAATTGGAATGGTCCAATTCGTGATCTTGTTTGACGAGGACATGTCTGAGGGTTCAGAAAACTCTTATATAAAGGTCAAGCTTGGCCTTAGGTCAAGCTTAGCCTTTATAACATATTTAGGAACCAATCTTTGTAGTTTTATTCATTCTAAGACGCTCTTTCTAGCTGTGGTGTTGGATTTCGTTCTTCTTGCCATGATCAAAATTTAGTCTATAGCTGGAATCACCCATTGGCTAGCCTGCGAATAGGCGTTTATTCATGTGGGCCTCGTAATAATAACCCACCTGAATAAACGCTTTGTTCGCAGGCTACCATTGGCTTGGCATAGTGTACCTATTATTCAACACTGTGGTTCGTTCTTCTTGGTCGGTCACATTGTCGACTAGCTTCTTCATACTCGTCCACTCTAGTGAAGTTGAGAAAGAGAAAGTAAATTACAGAATGTGATATTTGGCAGTTTCTTTTCCACCCACAGCAAGATTTCTCTGGGTTCCTCGTGTGATAACACTGGTACAGTATATCTAGTAGTTATGAGAATCAGTAATGTCCAGGGACGCCGGAACTGGGGGGCAGGGGGCGGCTGCCCCCCTTGCCTTTTGCTAGGGGGGGGGGGCAGGGGGGGGCAGGTCGCCCAAAATTTTCGATGGAAATAAAAAAATTTCCGATAAATTTTGAAGTTTTGCTTTATAGATGTGCCCTTGGTGTGCGTCCGCCTCCCCTTTGCCTTATTATCGTTCCGGTGTCCCTGGTAATGTCTACACTGTTCTCCCTAGAGGTCCAGCAAGGGATGTTTTAGTCCATTAGGAAGAACAGTTGAGATAAAACTGATAAAGGTATTCATTGCGTATGATTATTCACAAATCCAAGAAACTCTACTTCAACATGTTACATACTGGCTAACGTACGAGAATTGGAATAAATAAGCGTAACAGTTGATTTCACAACAAATTTTCTGAAATTTGTTTAGCAATTTCGAAACTCGCTGCAAATTTGGCAGTTGACCATGTATTATGAAATCCACAAACAGCCTTGGAAAAACAGCATATGATTGGTCAATAGGTTGCCGGTGGTGACTGTTTAGCCAATCAGAGATTTTGTTCCCAAAAGCCAAAATTGCAAACTTGACAATCAACTTGCCAACTTTGCAACGAAATTCGAAATTACATTATGGCGCAGGTTTCGTGAAATCAACTATAGAGTAAACTTAAATTGAATACATGCACAATTTTTTTTTAGTGTTCCTGGAAATTAAATTATAACAAGTACGTTTTCACAACTTTGAAACGAACTCACTTCTGTTCCATAGCACGTATCTTTTCTTCTTTTTGTTGGATTATTTGCTTCATTTTCTGACTGTGACTCGTTACCTCTTCTAATTCGAGAACGCTACATGAAATTCAAATATTATTCCTCATTGTGAAATACTTTATCTGATTGGCTAAAAGCCACACAGGACTGGAATTTTGAGTGCCTAGTATATAAATTTGGAATTTGGATTACAACTTATAGAAAAGCGAATCTAGAGATGCAACCGTGCAACATTCGTCTGCGCTAACACGGAAATGTCAGTTCGCACGTTCTCGAGTGAAAATTTATATACATTTATTAGACCTAACCAGAATAGCTGCAAAAAATACAACCTTAGGTCCCTGGCAGGAATCAACCTGCGGCCCTGCGATTCCGGTGCAGTGCTCGAACCAACTGAGCTACAGAGAAACAGTTGTCGAACTCGACGAACTCTAACCACAAGTTCATGTATAAATACTGAGGTGATGACAATGTACGGTGTATGGGTAACGTCAATACAATTTGGTTAACATGTCCTATATACCTGATAAGGTTCATGAGGTGTCTTCAACCAATGAGGACCGCTATTCGTGTTTGGGTTTAATGCATATATCTCTTGACACGACCATGCAGGGTTTTCACGGTTGTCGAGCTCTAACCAGAACTCTAACCTTAGACGAGAGGAACAGTTTGACAATCAAGCAGAGCGAGGAATCGTTGTTGCAAATGCATAAAAAATTTTTTTCGAAATATATACTTGCGATAGATGAACCAGGCGGAAATCGTTTAATGCTTTCACTATCAATGAAGTGATCGCAGTTCTCGAGAGGATTTCTTCCAGCACGATAAAGTCCGAAGCTGAAATAGCCACAACAATATTGCGAAATACGCGCGGGGAAAGAGGTTTTGCCACCTTGGATTGCTTTGTATCTGTATTTGTCCAATGTCGAGGCTTTTAATCAGTGCAATGGTTCGGTGAAGAAGTTTAAAAGGGACAGCGTACGGGCTATTAGGTTGGATAAAAAGTTTGCCACTCTGAGAAATGACAAAGTGTGACCAATCTATTTGATGATTAGTGGAAAAGGCTTGCAGGAGATGCCCATAGTTTTGAGACCTCTGTTGTGGGAAATGAAGGGTGTTTTTATCACTGTTAAACTGCTTGGACCACTTACTATTTAATTTGAGCATAATGGCCTTTTCAAACATTTGGTTAACATAGTTTATAAATATGACTCATATTCTTTGTTTAGGCGGCATTCTGCTTTGTTATCTAGAGGGGTTGATGTGCCCTGTTGCATGCAGTGAGACTTCAATTGATGCAGCAATGAATTCATTGTTGTCTCATCAAGTTGTTCCCCTTGTAAGACTGGAGTGAGTAGGTGATTGGATTGTTCTAGGAAACATCTCACATTATTCTGGTAGAAGACCCATCTGCATGTACCTTCTGTTTTTCCAAAACCCTGCACTTTGTTTGCATAAACTCGATGAAAATAGTTTTGAATACTGTGACTACTGTATTTCGCACCAATAATTTGGTAAATTATGTCAATTATTGCATCGTATTTACCAGGTGCATAATTTTTGGTGAAGGGTGCCACTGAAAACACAAGGGTCATCATAGAATAGGGTATTATAAAATAGTTGGGTCCAGAGCATTTCTTTGTGGCCGAGGTGGTGTGCTAAATTCTGCTCTTCTCTTGGGTGTATCCAGGGCCGTAGCTAGCATGTATAGTTGGGGTTGGGGGGGGTGTAGGCCAGGACATACGCGCAAGACATAGACGCACAGACATATTACAGAAGCAGTGCCGTAGGAAGCTCTTTTTAGTTGGGGGGGGGGTGAAAACGGAGGCCCGAGGAAATTTTTAAATTTAGAGTCCCTGAAATGCCATTTCCTTCACTCATGGGGAAGTTTTGACAGAATACTGATGGTCAGAAAAAAGCATTTTAGTATGTCAAAATTCATCCTCGTCCCCAGGTCCAAGCTCGGGCGGCCCTCACAGTGGTACTGGTTCAGGCTGTTGATCTGCGTCGGAATTCCGACGCAGAGGCTTGGTCGCACAGCATATGCCTTTCTCCCTAAAAACATGGCGACCGCAATGAATGCAACTGTACGAGGAAGGCAGAAGCAATATATTTTGCACTTGCAAAAACAAATAATACTCAAATTAAGTTAAAGGAAGAGCAGAAAGAAGATATTCGTCAAATAGTAAATGGAAGGGATGTTAAATCGTTGATATACCAACTTTTACCGTCCATGTTCGACTACATTAATTCGAGAAAAAGAAATATTTCTGCCGTGTTGCCAGAAACAATTGTAATCGTGATTTCCCCATTAAATGCACTGGGACGTGGGCGACCAAATAGACAAGCTAAAAACTGACATGGGTGTTAAGGCAGTTGTTTTACGCCATGATGATCATGATCAAGAAATGAAAGGTGGGTACTATTAAAAATACTTCATTTTGCTATTTTTGTATATAATACATAATATGTATAGACGGTAAATAGACCCCTTGCCTAAAAACCAACTGGTTGGAAAGTTTATTGAAAATATAATTAGCATTAAGCAATCACTATTAAGTGTACTTGCCATGTTAGGGTCTTGGGGAAATGTTTCCCTTATTTTTCTGTTATCAGCAGCTGTATCAAAATGTATGCATTATTAAATAAATTTATTTGTCTTTTTATAGCTTACAGTACGTATCAACAAAGTATGAATGTAAGGCCTCAGAGGTTCGCCAACACATGAGGACAAAAACAACACTGTAAAGTGTTGCAAAGTGCAGAAAGGCAAACAAGAACAATAGTCAAAAACAGAAACACTAGGCTAGTTATTAAAAATATTATTGCCCAGCAAATAATTTGCAAAAGGGGCATATTCAAAAAACATTTAGTATATAAAAATATTTATTGAGTAATGTTACAAGTGACTTGTTGCTTGTTTTTAACTAGAGTAGTCAATAGCTTATTTGAGGACTATGTTTTGCTCAAGGCAAATTTTAACCCATTGAGCCACAATGCGCCCAGGGCCGTATGCAGGATTTTTTCACCAGAGGGGCAGTAAGGCCTATATGCCGAAAAAAGTCCCAAATATCCAAAGAATAATTAACAATGACATTCTATGTTTCTAATCGTGAATATAGTTTTCTCTGGGGGGGGAGGGCAGTTGCCCCCACCCCCCGGTTGTGTACGTCCCTGAGTGTGCCCTACTTATTTTTTTTACTTGTCTAACACCAGACGGTTTAACTCGTCAATGGGGATAGCCCACAAAGCTCTGCAGCTTAATGGGTTAATAAAAAAACTGCCAATGTCTGTAGTTAACCCACTGAGCCGCAATGTGCCCTAGTGCGCCCTTTTTATTTTTTACTTGTCTAGCGCCAGAAGATTTTACTCGTCAATGGGGAAGCTCTGCAGCTTAATGGGTTAATGTAATTAACTTTACATGTCAATTATGGTGATTACCTATGGTTTAATAACAAAGGGCAATAAATATGGTGCTTGTGTACATATAATTGATTGCAATGGTTTTCTTTAGGTTATGTTTTTGTTTTGACTTGTTATTAAACCATAGGTGAAAACTATAATTGATCTGTAATGTTTAGTATAACCAATTTCTCGTATAAATATTTATATTAATTTGTAATATATGTATTTTTTAATATTTATATATATATATTTTTTTTTTGCATTAAAAAATTAAGAGTGATGAACAACATTGTGTGTCATTTACTATTCTTATAGGAAACAAGACGCCTGTTCAGGCGTTCACACTGACCTGAAAATGACGACATACGAGCTACGGTGCAATAGACAAGATTAGAATACAAATCGTGAACCGCAGACGCAAAGCGTGAAAGGCTAAAAGCGCGCCGTGATCCTCAGGAGATGTTTTCGTAATGCCCAATAAACACACAAGTATTAGTCACAAATACAAACGTTATCCACGAATGCACATGGTTTAGCTCTGAGCATGCGATGCGCTAACGCAGACAACATTGTTTACATTCCGTGAGTCCGTATATTAAACGTATAAAACTTGAAAAACTCAGCGATCCAGATATTGCATTTCCAGAGACGTTGCACGAAAAAACCCCAACCATGCAGTCAACTTCCAAGGAAGCGCAGTCTGAAGGTAAAACGTCTTAAGTCGAATTTTAGACCCCTACGATTTAAACAGTGCGTTGTTTTGACTTAGTTCTATGGGCCGCGCTAAAAATATAAATATTCTGCAAATACCGAAATGAAAGATGAAAATCTGAATTAAGACACAAGCTTGAAAATAACACTATAAATAGTGTTTTGGATTCTGATTCCATTAATACTATTACGAAAAAGGTATGTCCAAAGGGGCCGAAGTTATGTTCGGCGAAATGTAGGGCTAGTTTACATTTTTCACTATATTATGAAATATGATACCATACCTCACTTGTATTAAAATTCGCATCGAAGTTAAAAGTAATATGTTATTGTTTGACGCAACAAATCTCCAGTAACAGGGGCGGATCCAGACTATAGCAACTGTAGCAAATGCTACAGTCAGATTTTCCAGCAAAAATAATTTTAATACTGAATGTCGTGATAGTAAAAATTCTTTATAGAAGTTTTCCAGTTTCTCTATCTTCAAAAAATTAAATTTTCGCAGCATTCCGTATGTATTTTGTGACTACGAATATAAAATTACGTTTTCCGCGCTCATCTTAACCTGATTTTTACCCGAAACAACGCCCGTTTTTAGGCGAAATCACCTATATTTATTGAACATCATTCAAAAAGCGTTCAAGAAAAGTGGTCTAAATATAGCGATTTATGACGTCAAAATGCTACAGTCAACTGGGGGTCTGACGTCAAAATGCTACAGTCAGCGGGGGGTACTAAATTTAGCATTTCTGCTACAGTCAGATGAAGCAAACCAATCACAGTGCTGCAATGCGCTACAGTCAGCTACAGTTGCGCAATTCGATAGCAACTTTAGAGCGATGTTTACTAGTAATATTTGGCTATCATTCATTGTTTAACACAATGGCGTTTAATATTTATAAAGATTTGCACTCCCTACTGGACTTGTTCTGGATCAATTTGTTTGTGCTTTTAATCAGTTAACTAAAGCGCTCATGTGAGCATGTTTATCGTGAGCAAAGTAAAGACCGATCGCCTGAAAGACGCGAGGTATTTGTGTGTAATTTTTCTATAAAATTACAATTTCCAAACGCTGAAGGAGCGCGGTTGTTGAACCACGTAGTAAGCTTATGAATATATTAATATTGTATGCCCTACATGTAAAAACCTACATGTAAATATTCATTACCTTGTTTAGAATGAATAAGTAGTTTCATTCATTGAATGTTTTTGCGGATATAAACAGTATATAAATGTAATCTCAAACGCTCCGTGCTAGTGTTGGTACAACACAAAGCTTTGCATTGAGAGGGATTCAACTGAAATATATATATACAAGCAAACCGTACCTGAAAAATACTGAGCAAAACCTCAAAGTTTGGCTTGTATTTTTCGGTCGTTGAATCTCTGTCTGTTAATCCGAAGCTTTCTTTCAGTACAGTGTATATACTAGAAGTTACTATCGCAAGGGAAGTGCTGCCTCAACACCAAAGTCCTGGGGGTTGATTATACCAATAAACTTCATTTACTTAAATTGCCTTATACACAGGGTATGTATGAATTTATTTTGTTTAAGAAATATCGAAATTACAACATGCAATAATTACTATATATACTATAAAGTGTAGTTCGGATTTCCATATTTAAATGTATGCTTGTGATTGTTGGTACCAATGTTTTAAACAATCTTCACTTGTCAAAACGTCTAGAAGAACACAATGAGGAATATACACGATATGTCTTTTAACATGATATGACCAGTTTGTTGCAAGTTTTGATATTCTTTCTTTCCAAGGTAATGATAGTCCATACTGTATTTTCCATTTTGTAAACAAGTCTTATACTATTCGTTTTTTGTCCAATATATAAATATTTCGTATTTATTTAGCATGTACAGGTAGTATCCATTGTTGGCCATCATTATTGTCCAATAACTTGTTAGGTTACTGTACATATAAAGGTATGTAATATCTTGACATACAATGTTCCTGACATCCATATGGTAGATTGGAAACAAGTACAGCAAAATTCAGATTCCATCCCATTGCACTAGATGTAATATACAGTATCCA